CTGGTGACCTGTGGGTCTCCTCCGCCTAAGAATCTCCTGGTCTGTGGGCAATAAAGTTCTGTCTGGAAATGCGGTGTCTGCTCACCCTCTGCGCTTTCACTGGGAGCTGCAATCCTGAGCTGCTCCTACAGCACCATGTTGAATCTTCCACAAAAGATAATTTTTGCTATGTTACATTATGATAAATTTGACCGCTGCAAATACATTGCACAGATTTATGTACTATGATATTAAGAAAGCAGTCTTGTAGGTGACTATTTAAGTTTTAAAAATAAAACTGGCTGGGTGCGGTGGCTCACGCCTGTAATCCCAGCACTTTGGGAGGCCAAAACGGGTGGATCACGAGGTCAAGAGATCGAGACCATCCTGGTCAACATGGTGAAACCCAGCCTCCACTAAAAATACAAAAAATTAGCAGGGTATGGTGGCGCGTGCCTGTAATCCCAGCTACTCAGGAGGCTGAGGCAGGAGAATTGCCTGAACCCAGGAGGCGGAGGTTGCGGTGAGCTGAGACCATGCCATTGCACTCTAGCCTCAGTAACAAGAGCGAAACTCTGTCTCAAAAAATAAATAAATAAGCATAGAAATAAAAATAAAACAAATAATATGTTTATTAAATATGAGGGATTTAAAAATATTAAGAAGCTGAAAACTTAGGCTTGTCACTCAGAAATTTACTTTGTATCATTTTTATTGATATAGTATACTATCATGCATTATTTCATTTACTTCTCTCAACAACTGTAGCAGGTAGCCACAGCTGCATTTCTATTTTATGGATGAGGAAAGGGGATAGGGAGATGAGGAAATCTCCTCAGTGAGTGTCAGCAATTCATAGGCAATAAGTGGCAAAGTCAACCTTGGACATACTGATCTTAAAGATCAGTATCCCAACCACAGGGCTATATTGTGCAATTATACAAGGGAATCTTGGAAAAAATTAATAAAGGTGACTTTTGGCTTGGCTGGATACTAAAATAACTTAAGAAAATATTAATTTAGAATCCAAATATGTGCCTATTTTCTGTATTAGTTTGAGGAATCATGGGGCCAGTGATAAACCCTTCACCTATGATACATTTTTCCTGCAAGGGACTGTCTGCTTCTACAGTGATAGTTATGATAGTGCTGGGGATTCTAACATCCTTAATTTGTACAGTAAATTAAAATAATTTTGTCTATGTTCGTAATATATTTGCCTAAATCTTTTTGAAAACCTGGAGGACAAGTTTTCTTTATATGCTTCTTATAAGCAGATTGTAATTTGGGTAACCTTTCCCCTGTCTTTTACATCCTATGCCTTGGGTGCCATCATGAGGGAAAAATAATCCTTATTCTTCTGACACTATTTGTATGCCTACTGTACTGGAATTCTGTCATAATATTTATCATTTATGGTTGTGGGTCTTAAATGCTTTTTGTATGTAGACAAAATTTTATGAAATTTCTATGCACTTTCTTCCTGAAATTCATATATCTTCTCCATTTCTCCATAATTCTGAGTAAGTTATGGCTCTCCTGGTAAATATTAAGAGCATTAATGGACTTTTATTAGTGGTAATTTTATTGACAATTTCATTGAGAGCAAATTGTATTTTAAATTTCTAATAGTTAATGGCAATCTTTTTTCCCACCTTAACACTTTTCAGTCTTATTTTAAGAGTGAGCAAAAAAGAAGGAAGACATTAAAAAGTTGGGGTGTTTCTTAAATAAGACAAGAGATACATACAAACTGAAGCAAATCCCAAAAATATTATATTGGAGAATTCAGATTTTATTGAGGAGCATACTTCTGGAATTTGTGCATTAAGATTCCTAATTACTTATATTATTGTCTAATAGTAAGCCTAAAGTCATCTTTCATATTTCATAACATTGACCTGAGAAGTAATTTTTGAATGTCTTGAGATATATATTATATAATAAATGTTAGATTTGGATTTGTGCTACTTTTACCCCATAGTATTTTATTTATAGTATTCAATTTAGAGGAAAAACTATTAAATCACTTTTTTCCTCATAGAAAATTTCTCCAGTGTATTTTCCACATTTAGTAAAGCAAGTTGCTGAAAACCAATTTTATGGTCAGAAAAAGCTTATAGTCTAATACTTCAGTCAATCCCTATGCCTTCTTTTCTGATATAAGTATAAATCAAATTCCAAGTATAGGTTTTATACTGAATTTATGATTCATTTGTTACCTGTTTCCTGTTTTATAAATTGTGGCAAATATAATGGAATATTGATTTAGTTATCTTAACCTTTAGGATATTCTATGGGGGAGTCCTTTTGCTCTTTTTTTAAAAAAAAATCAGATAAAGTATATAACACAAAATATATGACTTTTAATATGTAACATTAAAGTTATGATTTATAATATGAAATTACTGATAATTTATAATTTTTAGCTCTAATATTTAGCTTATCTAGAATAAGCTTTGTAGGGATTTATTCATAACTTTATTACTTGAAATATTTTTGTGTGCTTAATTTTTTTAACTTTATTGATTGCCATATGCAGTGATTAAAATTGTAATTATTTGTAGTCTATAATTGATTCTCTGTTGTTGCTTCTTATTTCACTGAGAAAATAGAAGTTCCATCACTCCCACCTCCCTTTTTACCACTCCACTGCCTCTGGCCTCAGGTATTCTTCTCTTCTGTTGCAGACTCTAGACTATGCAGGTTGTTATCTAATGCCAGCCCCCATTTTGTCTGCTTGATGCCAGCCCTTCTCCCTGACTTAAAGATATTGTTTTTGTAATTGCCCTCTTTTACCTCCTTGTCAGTTTTTTCCCTCTTTGCTGGGTAATTCCCATAATCATACAGTTGTACAATAATATCTCACATTTTTGAAAAGGAAGAGAAGAACCATTTTAGATTTCATATCTTCTAAGTTCACCTTGATTCCCTATGTTCTGCTTTAGAACATATCTCCTTGAAAAAAGTTTGTTGGCCACTTACGCATTTCCTAGTCTCTCAGACCTAGTCTCAGTTTGGCTTTTATCCTCATGACTCTACTGAATTATTTTTTTTCTTTTTTTTGTGACTTTCACAGTGCCAACTTTATTGATTGATTCTCAGGAATCTTTTTAGATTCCTGGCCGCATTTGTCACTGTTGTTCATTTCTTTCTTTTTTTTTTTTTAAAAATTATTTCAGTGTCTGCTGAAGATTGTTTTTTTTAATTGTACTTTAGGTTCTGGGGTACATGTACAGATCATGAAGGATTGTTGCGAAGGTACACACATGGCAATGTGGTTTGCTGCCTCCATCCCCCTGTCACCCACATTTGGCATTTCCCCTCATGTTATCCCTCCCTGACCCCCCACCCCCCTGCCATCCCTCCCTTGGCCCCCACAAACAGACCCCAGTGTGTGATGCTTCCCTCCCTGTGTCCATGTGTTCTCATTATTCAACACCCACCTATGAGTGAGAACATGTGGTGTTTGATTTTCTGTTCTTGTGTCAGTTTGCTGAGAATGATGGTTTCCAGATTCATCCATGTCCCTACAAAGGACACAAACTCATAATTTTTTATGGCTGCATAGTATTCCATGGTGTATATGTGCCACATTTTCCCTGTCCAGTCTATCGATGATGGGCATTTGGGTTCGTTCCAGGTCTTAACATTTTCTTCATTGGGGCTCTGGGCAGAGAACTCTCAGATTCTCCGACTACTTCACTGGCCTCTCTGCTTAGTCTCTTTCGGTAGTGTTTTCTTTTCCCCTCAACCTAGAAGCAATGGACTGTTTATGGCTCAGTCCTAGGATTTCTTTCTTTACTTTCATTTCTCACTGACTATCTCTTCCAGTCTCATGACTTTAAATAGTATCTACGATGTTTATTACCTTAAATTGCCCACCCTGACTTTTTTCCTGAACTTTGAACATGAATACTCAATGTTTATCTTCACTTGAATGTCTGCTAGACATGTTAAATTTAACATGAATGGAAACAATTTGATTACTCCAACTACCCAGTTGCTCCCTCATTTGTCCCCATTTAGTAAATAAATGGCTATCTGTTGCTCAGCCAAAAACCCTGGAGTTGCACCTCCCTTCTCTCATTCACCAACACCTGACAGTTGATCCATCAGTGAATTCTCCTGGCCCCACCTTTACAGCATATCTACAAGATACTGACTTCTCATAACCTCTACTGCTACCAACTTTCTTCAAGCCACCATGCTCTGTCTCCTTGACTATTGCAATAACCTGCTAACTGGTCTCTTATTCTATGCTTGCTAGACTAATCCCTTTAAAACATAAATCTGGTCAGTGTCACTTGTCTCAGAACCTTCCAAAAGTTTATTTACTTCTGATTCAGAGTAACATTGCTTTCCTCACTGTGGCTCCCTACTGTTTTCCTGACTCGTCTTTCACCACTCTCCTGGGTCACTTAGTTGGCTTCGGTTCCAGGCAAGCCAGATACCCTGGCTGTTTGCTATTTCTTGTAGTTGCCAAATACTTCTTTGTTTCAGGGACATTGCATTTACTTTTCCATCTGCCCCATCTGCTTCTTCCCAGATATCCGCATAGCACAGCCCCTCATTTCCTTTAGATCTCTGTTCAGATATCAGTTTGTCAGTCATGTTTGCCATTTATGCTCACCCTCTGTAAAATAGGACAAGCACCCTCATCACTCTATGTCTTTTAGCCAGCTTATTTAACTTCATAGAACTTGTCACCCTGCCCACTAGAATGCAAAATCCGTGATATAGGGACTTCTGTCAACTTAACTATTGTCTAGCCCAATGCCTGGAACATAGGAGATGTTCACTTATTATATTTTATACACCATGATGGTATTAGTACCTAGAAGTGTATTCATATTTTATTCTAAAATATACTATGAACGTTGGACATTTTAACTTGTAAATGTAACACTGCAACTAATTACTATAACGTTCCCTGAGACTTAACTTTTTGAATTGTACATAAATTAAGCTAATTTGGCAGAAGGAAATGGCATAAAGACTTTTGTTTGATTTTATCCTAGGTATGAGTTAATCCAAAAAGGAGTAACTGAACTTAGAAGTGTTGGGAATGTTCCAGATGTCTACACCCAGATTATGCTTTTGGAAAATGAAAACAAAAATTTAAAGAAAGACTTGAAGCACTACAAACAGGCAGCTGAGTATGTTATATTTTAAATGACATTGTCTTCTTTTTCTTTTGGATTAAATGAAAGAGTTGAGTGAAGCTGATATATATAATATACCAGAGCTTTAATTTTGGAAAACTGAATTTTTGTTTAGTTGTAAAGAATGTGAGAGGCTTCACTAACAAATTAAACAGATGATCAGAACTATCACAATTGTAACTTACTAACAATTGGGGAATACAAAGAGTTGTTTAGGAGACGGTAAATTTGTTATATAACAATTACTTCCTTATGTGTTTGATAGTCTTTTCATGGTTTATAATATTTTCTCCTGTAAAGATAAGTTAATTTCTGAAATAATAATAAAATTATAGAAAGCCAAGAGGATAGTGCTAGTTTATTCCTATTAGAGGAATTTCAGTGTTTGAAAATTCTCCAAAAGGAATAATATAAACTGTGTACTTTGGGTGATAATGATATATAAGTTCGTCAGTTGTTAACAAATGTACCTCTCTGGTGGGGGATATTGATAATGGGGAAGGCTGTGCATGTGTGGGAGTAGGAGGTTTATGGGACATATCTGTACCTTCTAATCAGTTTTGCTGTGAACTTAAAACTGCTCTAAAAATAAGTTCATTAAAAAAATAGAGTTCTCTATACTGTTTTCCATACAGGTTAAACCAATTTACATTGCCACTAACCATATATGAGTGTTCTCTTATCTCCATATTCTTGCCAACATCTGTTACTTTTAACTTTTTAATAATAGCTGTTTTGACTGGTGTAAGATATCTCATTGTGGTTTTGACTTCAGTCCAGCAATTCCACTACTAGGGATCTACCCAGTTGTATAAAAATAACACCCACACTCATATGTGTATTGCAGAACTGTTGATAATAACAGAGTCATGGAATCAACCTAAGTGTCCATCAGCAGATGGTGGGATAAAAAATGTGGCATTTATTTACAATGGAGTATTATTCAGCTGTAAAAAAGAATAAAATCAGGCCTTTTGCAGCAACTCGATGCCATCATCCTTAGTGAAATGACTCAGAAACAGAAAGTCAAAAACTGCATATTTTAATTTATAAGTAGAAGCTAAACAATGAGTACATATGGACATATAGAATAGAAAAATAGATACTGGAGACTCCAAAAGGTAGGAGAGTGGGAGGAAAGTAAGGTATGGGTAAAATGTCCACTGCCTGGGTGTTGGGTACACCAGTAGCTCAGACTTCATCACTATACAATATATCCATGTAAAACAACTCTACTTTTACCCCTAAATATATAAAAATAAAAAATTTAAAAAACATAAATATTAGCTATCTGTAATTTCACCACCCAGTGCCAGCCACTTACCACTTTGCTGAATAGCAGACTTAACTTTCCTCAGTGCGTATATATTAATACATATTGATGAGTAACTTTTAAATATAAACTCTACTAATGTCATAATTTGTAATTTCCTTTTTCATTCAGGATTATATAATTAATATATTTTTATGAAAATAAATTTTATTCTAAATTAAAAGAAAATTACTGAAGGGAAACCTTTGTTTTATAATTTCCTGGCATAAACTTATTCATAGAAGAGAATTCAAATCTCTCCACACCTTTCTTTCTTCCTACAATTAATGGAAGACATGCAGTTCCTGGTGAATAATTTTAGATAAACAGCCGGTGTTATTCTGACAAGGAATATGTGGATGCATTAACTTGGGTTCAGTCTGCTCATCCACAATGTTATGTGGAAAAATCTATGCTCAGATGTGAAGGAGAGTTCGTGTTTTATTTATTAATTTATTTTTATTAAATATAGTTAAAAAGGGCATTTCTAATTTAAAGAATCATATTAAAGCCAAAATTAGATTAATGGAACTACCATATAGGAGCATAATATTAAGATTTTTGGTAAGTTTAATGTAAGGAAACATGACTTTTCATTGAAAAGTAGAGAAAACATTCAAAATAAGCTCTAGTTGTAAAAGATGACAGTACATAATTATTATGATCATTTATTCAAGTATTGTCTGTACTTGTAGAAATGTTTTTACAAGATATATAAATTTTGTATTATCTATGGATGTAATGTACCATTTAGAATTTTATATTTTACATTAGAAGTGTATGATGATTCAGAAGAATATATTACTAGAACCAGTGCTCTCTGTATTCTTAGCTGCATTTCTCAAAAGCGTTTTGTACTGTTTGCCCTGATGCTTACTATGATTTTGTATATTCACCTAATGGATTCACCGGGAATTTGATACAGTGTATTTCTCACAGTGCTGCCTGGCACACTGTTTCAGTTCCTGATCTCCTTTGAATTATTGCTTGAATTTGCTAAATTTCTTTTAAATAGATCAAAACAGTATCCTTATGCCATAAGTTTAGCCCAAGTGACATTGAAAATGTTAAATACCGGTCATTTATTGAATATTATATTTAATAGCAATAATATAATTAAATAACATATTACTCATGCAGATTATTAATGTTAAAAAAAGCCAGAATTAAAATGTATCACTCAAATACGACATCTTATCTTACTAAAATATAAGATTATAATTTTAATTTTAAGTTTATGGCTATTTCTCAAATCTGTCTCATTCAATAGAACTTAAAATGTAAAAAATTAGACAAGGAAAATTTTTATTTGCTTTACTCTACTTGACATTTGAAAGGAAGCGATACTTAGTAGATGCTTAATCTTTATTTTGTTGAGTGGATATTAAGCATGGTTTAATTTCACAGCACATTTTAGTAAAGTGCTTCCTTATAGTCTGGTTCTATTGATACATTCTTAGACAATGGAGACCAAACTTTTGTTTTGTCAGTAGCTTTTTAATTGATACACCATAATTGCATAGAAATTTATCCATATAATAATTATACATGTGATATTTTGATACACATGTGTCAAATACATTTGTACATATAATAATTGTACATGTGATATTTTGATACATACATACAATGTATAGTAATCAAATCAGAGTATTTAGGATATCCATCACCTCAAACATTTATGATTTTTTTTGTGTTGGGACCATTTCATATCTATTTTCAAATAGATGATAAATTATTGTTAACTACAGTCACCCTACTGTGCTGTTGAGCACTCTAGAACTTATTCCTTCTATCTATCTATGTTTGTACCCATTAACCAGTTTCTCTTCGTGTCCCCTGTCTACCCAACTGTCCCCTGAATACTTCCCAGCCTCTGGCAATTATCATTCTGCTACCTCCATGAGATCAACTATTTTATTTCCCACATGAGTAAGAACTCACAATATTTGTCTTTCTGTGCCTTGCTTATTTCACTTGACATGATGATCTCCAGTTCCATCTGTGTACCTGCAACTTATAGGATTTCATTCTTTTTTAAAAATGGCTTAATAACATCCATTGTGTATATGTGCCACATTTGATTTATTTATTCTTCTGTTGATAGACACTTAGGTTGATTCCACATTCTTCGTTATTGTGAATAGTGCTGCAATAATGTTTTGAAAAACGTTTTCTGAACTACATCTGTCCTGCTACCAGCCTGCTCCGAATGGTAATGTTTAACCATCTAGGTTTTTCAATTTGACTTCTGAGTCAAATTGAAAATTTCCAATTTGACTTCTGAGTCAAATTGAAAATTTCCAATAGCAATTAGATGATAAACATGAGATTCCTTTTATTGAACTTGACCTGATATTTGCATTTTTAGGATTAGAATATTTCTTAAGGCAAATACAATTATAGATATAAAATACTTTTCTAATAATTATTAATACACAAAAAAGTCAGGTAGCAGATATATATCATTCTTGATTCACTAATAGCATTTAATGATGTATCTACAGAAGTCAAAGAAATAATACACCTATAAAATTAATATTTATCTGGGGGGAAGTTGCCATGGAAAGAGTACTGATCTTAAAGTTCAAATACATGGCTTCCAATATGCTGTTACTTATTAGCTCAGTTTACTGAATTATTCCCAGTTTTCTTATTGTTAACCTGGGCATAGTTAACAATAACCTGGGAATTGTTAACCTATGGAATAATATGATAATTAAATGAGACAATCTATGTTAAAGAGCTTTGTAAATCACAAAGTGCTTTGAAATGTCAGCTAGTATTATCAATAACTCTAAAAACTGTCATCTCTGGGTTTTTACTAATCATCACATCATTAATATTTTTAAAATTCAGCAACGATGAAGCATGAAGAAAGAAATGAAAGGAGAAAATATTTCACACTAAAATATTATTTGAATCGCCATACTTATATCAGGGAATTGTAATTTTCTCTGTTGTCAGCATGGCCAATTTTTGACTACAGGTTTTCTCTACCTGCTACAAATATAGATTATCTATCTATAAAGGTGGGAAAATAATATGTTGAAAACATTTCTGTATAGGTGTTTTAATGGAGAAAATGATCTTATTAAAAATTTATAGTTACCTTGGAAGTAAAAATATTTCACATACTGGATATTGAAGAATAATCATCTTTCTCAGAAAAGAAGAACATGACTTAAAAATTCTGTTGAAATGTAGACCAATTGTTACTTTAAAGGCAGAAGTGTAAAGTTGCATTTAAAGCAGGTGATCTGCCCTGCAATTGCAGAGAATTGGTGGCTGAATGAAGACTATAAAACATCACTTATGTCTTTCACAGTTTAGGCACTATATTTCATAAACCTTGTTTTATTCAATAGTTGGCATGCCAAAAGATTCACTTTGGTCTGAGTTTATAAATAACTATTATGAGTTTTATTAATTAAAGCCTGTTTGCCTGATCTACTTGCCTATTTTGAGTAGCATTTTATATCTTCTTCTCATAGTGTAGACAATGCAAAAAAAAAAAAAAACCAAAAAACTAAAAAGCAACAACAAAAAACTCAGTTGGATGATTGATTTCTAAAAGCATCAGTGTGCTTGAGCTTTAACAGTCTGGCTTTCATTTCGCTTTTTCTCAATTGGCCTTGGACACCAGAGAACTGTTTGCCACCAAATTTACCAGTCTTTATTT